CTGAAGTGTTGTAAGTTTGTTGAGGACGTGTACCTTTGCTTCTACATAAAATGTGGGATCGTGGAGTGAACGCAACCTAATAAACACCACAAACCTTGACTTAAGCAAAGAACTGTCCTCACCCCCTATTCCTGAAACTACGAGTTTTGTTGGAACCTTCTGCAGTCCAAGTGCTTGAACTGCTGACTCCGTAATAAACGAAGCTTGTGACCCTTGATCCAACAAACATCGCATTGTCATCTCAACACCTTTAAGTGATTCAGCTTTCACTAATGCCGTTGCTAACAACACTTGACTATAATTACTTAAAAAACATGTGACTACTGACTCTGGCTCTGACTCCTTCTGATTTTCATGAATGGCAGTTGTTGAATTAACAGCAACATTTATACCAACTGCATCCGTATTCTCCTTGCGATTCGTGGGATTATTTACAGGATGAAGCAACGAATGATGCTTCCTCTTACAAATTTGACATCGTGAAGAGTGTCTACAATTAAAAACAGAATGATTATCTCCTAAACAATTATAGCATAACCTCCTGGCTTGAGCATAGTCCCGTCGCGATTCTATAGTTTCCTTAGAAAATAACTTGCAATTGCATAATTTGTGATTGCCTTTACAAAATGAACAACATAAATTATTGTTATTAGACGTACTATCATTGGCATAACACACTGTTGCCTTACATTGCCTCGTTTTAGGTTTAGTATCTAAAAATTCCAATGATCGAAACCTATGTTCCAAAAAATCTTTAAAATCAGACAACTTAGGCAACTCAGAAGTTAATTCACTTGACTTAGCTTCCCATTGTTTTCTGGACTCATGATCAAGTTTCTGGCTCATTACGTAAATAATAATTATATCCCAAGTGCTAATATCTATACCTAAATTCTGCAAGCCGTTTAAACATTCTATTATAGTGTCTAATAGTTCCTTGATCGCATTTGAAGATTCAAATTGAATAATTTTATGATTCAATAACCGTTTTAATATGTGGTTTGAAAGATATTTTTTATTATCATATCTACTTTTTAGTTGAGTCCAGCAAACTGAATAATTCTTACCTGTAATAGGAATGTGACGTACAATTTGTTCAGCTTCTCCCGATAGATGACTCTTAAGGTAATGTAACTTCTGGACGTCATCAAGAGTTTCACAGTTATCTACTAAACATACAAATAAATCTTTAAAAGAAGTCCAATCTGAATAATTCCCGTTAAAAATAGGTATAGTAATTTTAGGTAATCTAACCCCTGAAAAACTTGAAACTTTCGATGATACTTTATCGTCGGAAGAAGTAGATTTAGGATTTTTGTCAGCGCATTCACACAATTTTTGTTTTAATATTGACTTATAATCTATATAACATTCTTCAGTTTTGTCGTAAACTTTCTTTTTGTAATATTCAGACTTAGTTAAATCTTCCTTTAATACCTTTAATATTATTGTACGATGAGTTTCACAAAATGAATTCCACTGAACCTCTAAATTTTCTAATTTACTTTCTATATAAAAAACTGTAATACGATCCTTTGAAGTTTTCTTAAAATTGACATAAGCCTTTTCAATTAAAGAACTAGTTTCTATTTGTAGACATTCATACGCTGACATATCCATTATTCTTTTATTTTAAAAAGTATTTTAAAAACAATAAAATTTAAATTTGACAACTTCAAATCAATACGCAAATTTTTCTAAGTCTTATAATAGATATTTATTCAAAAATTTCTATGTATTTGAACAAATTGTACCTCGCTATGAAATTGGGTATAGGTTCCCCGTCACATCACCTTTTGGAGAATTATTCTATTATAATAAGTCTAATACTAGAATAACATTCTTAGTCTACAACATTTTCGAAGTCTACACACATGAATTAACTTAGAAAATTACCAACAATTTTTACTAAATATAAAGTACTAGAATCACGAAACACTTCATTTATCACCTTGTCGTCGAAATGTATCCATATGCGTCGCGTGTCGATGAAGATCCCGTCCACTGGCAACTGCTCCCAATTCAGACACCACGCACTAACAGCGCAGCGTGGTTGCACAGCGGAAGACACTGAGTCACGTGTCGATGAAGATCCCGTCCACTGGCAACTGCTCCCAATTCAGACACCACGCATTAACAGCGCAGCGTGGTTGCACAGCGGAAGACACTGACTCACTACAATAATTTGCTTCTGCGTACTCACAAGTCGCCTGGTAACGCGTGCACCTTTTTTTACACTATACTTCACCACCACAAGCGCAATCACCTTAGCACAATGATCACAGAGCACTATCGACGACAATCGGCCACCGTGTCGGCACAGCTATGGATACAGACACAACCTCCACTGATGTCTCACTATCCGACATCGAAGGACCATGTACAGATCCCAAAAAATAGCCACTAGGAGATAGGGTTCATGAAATGAAACTCAACTATCAATTAGCAGTAGGAGTCAATAAGCATCGTATATTATGTAGATAAACCTTATGTACTATTTGAAACAAATCTTTACAACGCGATATAAATAACACAAGCTATGGACAAAACGACATCTAGTAAAAATAAACATAAACTAAATATTGTAAACAAAGTAATTGACAGATTTCATACAGTAACTGTTCCGAAATCATTTAAAATAATGGTTTCTGAACGCACTGGAACGCCCCTATTTCACGTATTTATTTATTTATTTATTATTGGATAAAAATTGTTACATTACTGCTATGCGGCACAGCGAAAAACCATGCAGGTTTGTGTTGCGTGCCGTTCCGTCTACTTTTACAAAAATGGGGATAACAACTAATATTTGTTAAGGAAATAACATTTTAATTTATACTTTATGTTAACTTCATTAATTTCACTTTTAAATTTATTATCCAGACCATTTATTAAGCGAGGTATTATGTATGCACTGGTGTGCTCACCATATTTATATTTGGATGGTATTTTTATGAAAGGACTTTGTATTCAAAGACTAATTATTCACGTATTTCTGAATAGTTGTTAATTGTAATTTAATTCAATTAGTACTTATGTAGGCATCAAATCAACTACTATACTGATTTATTATGTACTGGATTCATGTCATAAAAATGATTATGTAGCTTCATAGTAAGCTAAGCGTTTTGTTCAATTACGTACAATGGGACATCATGTGTCATCGTCAAGTTAAATAATCTGTGGTCATCGATCGACATTGATTGTCACCCGGCAATCATGTACATATCTATATATCTTATTTGCTTCATTCGTTGTGGATTGTGATACGTACTGTACTATTTTAGATCTCTTTCTATTGTTTTGACCTCGGCATTGTTTTACGGACTGATAACTACCACTTGTAACGATTATTCTATGCTTTGGATCTTGCTTCTGGACACCGATTTTGCATCTTGCATATTTGTGAGAGACATCATTTAGACTACAGCTACATAACAACGACATCTAGCCCTGTGATTGCTATGTGTTAATAGTAACATATGCATTGATACACTTCGCCGCCATCTCGTTTTTGAGTTTGATACCAGAGTAATTTCTAAGATCCGCGAGTGGAATTCTTCAATAATAGTACATATTTACATACCTACTTATTTTATTACACTAACATAAGCCATCACACACAATCGTACATCACAATACAAATCTAATTATTATTTTATATCACTGAAGAAGATTACATATGTGATGCTAACCTCAAAAGTATTTTTGACGTTATTTAAAAAAATGTGGCTATTTAGATATGATTTTTATATGGGATGGTGTTTACAACATAAAAGCAAACCAACCTAGCTATAGCTTGTTTTGGGACATGAAAAATAAAATTCAAGTCCAGCTCCTATAGAAATTTGGCTATTGTTCTTTAAGTGCCTGTTTGTAATGTCAAAATAACAATTTCTTACTAAATGCATATGAAAGTATATACGGTTACTTATAATAAAAATGCAAATTCTAAAGTTTTTGTATGTCCGTCTGTTTGTTCCGGCTAATCTCAGCAACGGCTGTACCGATTTCGGCGGGATTTTCACTGGCAGATAACTGATGTTATAACTTAGGCTAATTATTTTTGAGAAAAAGAGTTAGGGTTCCGCGCAACATAACTAAAACCCTAAACCACATGCGGGCGATGTCGCGAGGAACAGCTAGTTCGCAATATACGAGTATGTTGTTAAGATCTGAAAGAAATTGCTAAATCTAGACTCGATGGACATAGACAGTTATTAATGAATTTAATATTTACACTGTAAAAATATTGAAAGAAGTTCGAAATGAAGCTCATCGCGCTTCCTATGGGCTTCCCGAGAAATTGTGCAATTGGATCACCAGTTTTCATACAAATCGGAACATCAAGGTCGTAGGAGACGGTGCATGCTCCGATTACAAGTCCATTATCGCTGGTGTTGTTGCACAAGGCTGCGTGCTATCACTTACGGCAGTATAACTTAAAATCACTTATTATTTTTTTTAATTACAAAATAAGGGTGACATAAGAGCACACAGCATGGCTCTACCATCGATAACACGTTGTTTCATGAAAAATAGGAGCAGTTTACATCTTTTCTTACATAATTACGCAATTCTTCAAACAACATGTAATAGTTATAGAAATGTATTTATGACTATACTTAAAAAGGAATATACAAAAAGCGAAGCTTTATGAGGCAAAACCTGTTGAACCCTAACTTTTATAAGCCTATATTAAAATATTTGGGAAGTAAATAAAAATATAACTAACAGCAGTGGTCTAGCCTGGTTATAGGCCCTGATCGTCACTCCCCCACAATTTTCATAACTTAAAAGTATAAAATCCAAACCCCTAACTAATTTCATTCCATTCAGTGATAATAAGAAAAACGATATCAATAAATAAATCGTCAACAGGGAACAAAACCTAACCAGTCTTCACACATTGTGTCGAAGTTGTCGCCGTGGCAATTATCAGCCTGCAGAACTTAATTAATCATTAAGCAACGGAGTTAATTTCTGTTTATCTAAAACAGGTACGACAATGGACGCTCCGGATCCAGTTCAGGTCTATCAAGCATGGCGCTACTTGCTGTCACAATGAAGCTATTGATAGAGCCCAATCAATTGATGCTTATCATTATAAACGTGTTCATCGGCCTGCAACAGGCATTCTTTGGAGCAGATTTTACAGCTGTAAGTTATCCAAACGAAGAAAAAAAAATAGAATAAAAACGTAGCAGCAATACTCTGCTATTTCACGCATTACTGCTATGTTAGAGCATGGTCCTTGCCTCCAGACCGGATTTCAATAACGGCAGTCAGTTTAACGGAGACTAACCATCTGCACGGGGCAGGATTATAGTGCACCAACGTGTTTGTGCCGCAAATACAAACACACTCTCTATTCCTTCACTCTTAAAGTAAGATGGCTTTACTTGTTTTTCGTTGCACGTTGCAAAACCGCAAATTTCCTAACTCGGGGCTGCTATCCGGACTCAATTTAGATTTGATGCGTTTGCAAATGCGTTTGATGCATTAAAATATCTTGTAGTGGCGGCGTGAGACAATCCATATTACCTTACGGGTGTCGTGAGAGGCGACAGAAGGAAATGAAATAGGAGATGAGCACCGGTATCTTCATGATAACTAAAAATATTGTAAAACTGCGGTTGCCTCCCTCTTATGAGGCAATATTGATAGGCTGTAAACAAAGAAGAAGAAAGGAGCATTGCATTATCATATCCTCATTTAAAAAAAAGACATTAATAGGATCTAGAAACGTGGCATCGGGAGTCGCTTTCTATTGGGTTGACATTATCGGGACTAAAAAAGCAATAGAGAGGAGTTCGCGGCCTTCAAACGCTCAACGGTTATTACAGAATTCTTATTTGCGCTCTTAGTGATCACTGGCCACTGTAGGCATCTCTTAATCTTATATTTATAGAAGCGAGATCCAGAGGATTTTCCAACAAAAATACAATATTACAAAAGTTAAAGGAAAATATTTTAAAAATAAAATTAAAACATTATGATATTTTGCTTTTCATTTTTATAAATTTGACTAAAATATCTTGTTTCTTAGGCGTTCGTTTCTTGCGCCATCGGCACGGGCACAGTTGGCTTTGTGATGATGACGTATGGGGTTGCAGACGCAATTGGATGCGTTGTCTCAGGATACTTAGCGAAGGTATTTGAAATATTATATACTATATTATACGAGACCTCTTCTGGCTCAATGTCACAAAATAGTTTTATTACACATATGTAATAACACTATTTTGTTGGTTGGAAATGGAGCGTGTTCTTATAATAAATTGAGCATAGTTTATGCTCTGTCAATCTTTCTTTGTTGCTCTGAGACAGGTAGATTAAACTTTCGCGGTGATTCCTAGTGAATTTCACCCAAATAATTTGTTTTAAATGTTTTAAATAATCCTATTATGCAGGTTACCGGCCGTTTACCCCTGTTGTGTACAGCTGCCGTAATCCAGACTGGACTCTTCGTGGCTATCCTAATATGGAAACCGCATCACAACGAAGCGTACGCGCTGTACTCGATAGCCGTGCTGTGGGGTCTGTGTGACGCTTTGTGGGTGGTGCAAATTAATTGTAAGTAATATCACTGTTTCCTCATCTACTGATAACTCAGTTGGAATAGATTCTTAACCACAAACAAAACTGCCAGGAAATTCCAGTCTACTTACCTACCCTCTTCCTCTTACCAATCTAGTGGTTTGAATTTGTACATCTCGTTATGGTTCAGTCGCAGTATCCATTCATCCACCCATTACAGTCTATAAACCACTGCTGAACTAATGCCTCCCTCATAGATTGATTCAGGGAGGGATTTTACCAAAGTTGCCACGCTTGGCAAGCGGGTTGGCAACCGCGGTTTTTTATTATTTCGAGTTGTTATCAGGAAGATACTGCTGCCCATCTACCGTTTCATTTTCCCTCTGTCGCCTCTTACGACAGCGTCGGGGTGATATAAGGTAGTGGATATTATTAATAAGGGGGTGCTAAGAATCTCCGGTGGAGGTTCGGTTGCCACCTACGACGACTCGACCTGGCAACATACAACGCACGCACCCTGAGGACTGACGAGAAGATTGTGGAGCTGGAAGAAGAGATAGACAAGTTACGCTGGCATATTATAGGATTATCCGAAGTCCGAAGAGAGGGGGAGGACACGGTAATCCTCGAATCCGGCAACTTGCTCTATTACCGGGAGGGCGACCATCTGTCCCAAGGAGGTGTCGGATTTATCGTCCACAAGTCTCTCGTTAACAACGTTGTAAAGATTGAGAGTGTGTCGACGAGGGTTGCGTACCTTATACTCAGAATCACCAAACGGTATTCGCTGAAGGTCATACAGGTTTACGCACCAACCTCGGCACACCCCGATCAGGAGGTGGAGGAAATGTATGAGGATATCTCTAGAGCCATGCATTCCTCCAAAACCCAATATACGGTGTTAATGGGAGACTTCAATGCAAAACTAGGCACAAGAGAGAACGGTGAGCTGAAAGTAGGGAAATTTGGAATAGGGCAACGGAACCCAAGGGGCCAGCAGTTGGTTGACTTCATGGAGAAAGAGGGACTCTTTATGATGAACTCTTTCTTCCAGAAGCGGCCCCACAGGAAGTGGACCTGGTCGAGCCCAGACGGTTCGACAAAAAATGAGATTGACTTCATTATGACGACCAGACGACAACTGTTCAGTGATGTCTCCGTGATCGCGAGGGTGAAAACTGGTAGCGATCACCGAATGGTTAGAGGCACACTGAACCTAAACGTTAAGTTGAGAGGTCTCGTCTAATGAAGTCAACGCTCCGTCCCCCTCGTGCTCTAATCCAAGGTCCCGAAACCTTTCAGCTCGAGTTACAAAACCGTTTTCAGTGCCTAGAAGACTGCAATGAAGTGGACGATTTGAATGACAAGCTCGTGGAAACTGTCCATGCGGTCGGAGCTAAGTTCTGCAAGACCCGCCGCAGAAGAACACAAAAACTCTCCGATCACACTCTTAATCTCATGGCTGTTAGACGGGAGATGAAGCTACATTCTTCAACAGATTTAACAGCATACAGGCAACTGAACAGATAGATCTCCAAATGCATGCGGCGGGACTTACGCAACTTCAATACAGCTCGTATTGAAGAAGCGATCGAGCGGAACCAAGGCTCCAAAGTCTTTGCCAGAGATCTGTCTGCCAGAAAGCGCCAACTGTCAAAGCTGAAGACAGAATGTCGCAGCATCGTTTCCGGGGCACCTGAGATTTTGAGTGAGATTGAGAGGTTTTATGGGCAGCTGTACACGTCATCGTTGGAGCCGCACGCAAGTGTGAGTAACGATCCAAGAGCGAGTCTTATCCGACATTATTCCGATGATATCCCGGACGTCAGTCTGAGCGAGATTAGAATGGCTCTCCAGCACCTTAAAAACGGCAAGGCCCCAGGCGAAGATGGAATTACAGCGGAGCTTCTGAAAGCGGATGGAAAACCGGTACTTGAAGTCCTTCAGAAGCTCTTTAATTCTGTCCTCCATGGTGGCATTACACCGGAGGCGTGGAGCAGAAGTGCGGTGGTCTTGTTCTTCAAGAAAGGCGACAACGCCCTCTTGAAGAACTACAGACCGATTTCCCTTCTGAGCCGCGTCTACGTGCTGTTTTCGAGAGTCATTACGAATCGTCTCGCGCGCAGACTTGACGACTTCCAGCCTCCCGAACAAGCCGGTTTCCGAAAAGGCTTTAGCACCATAGACCACATACATACCCTTCGGCAAATTGTACAGAAGTCCGAGGAGTACAATTTGCCACTATGTCTGGCGTATGTGGACTATGAGAAAGCCTTTGATTCCGTCGAAATTTGGGCGGTGCTGCAGTCCCTTCAGCAATGCCAGGTTGACTGTCGGTATATCGAAGTGTTGAAGTGCTTGTACAGTAGGGCTACGATGGCTATCCGAGTACAGAACAAGAGTACGAAACCTATCCAATTGCAGAGAGGTTTAAGACAGGGTGACGTCATATCCCCGAAACTCTTTACCGCTGCATTGGAAGATGTTTTCAAGCTTCTGGACTGGAAAGGATACGGTATCAACATCAATGGCGAGTACATCACTCACCTTCGATTTGCCGACGATATAGTCCTTATGGCAGAATCGCTGGAGGACCTAAGCACTATGCTCAATGACCTCAATAATGTTTCCCAACGGATAGGTCTTAAGATGAACATGGACAAAACAAAGATCATGTTTAATGTCCATGTCACACCTATGCCGGTAGTTGTTGGGAACACTAAGCTCGAAGTTGTTGACGAGTATGTTTACCTGGGACAAATAGTCCGACTAGGTAAGTCCAACTTCGACCGAGAGGTCAATCGACGGATTCAACTCGGTTGGGCAGCGTTCGGGAAATTACGGCACATCTTCTCGTCAGGTATACCTCAAAACTTGAAAACGAGACACCCAGTGCGTGTTGCCAGTGATGACATACGGAACTGAGACGTGGCCCTTCACTGCTGGCCGGATGAGGAAGCTCAAGGTCGCTCAGCGAGCTATGGAGAGGGCTATGCTCGGAGTTTCTCTGCGTGATAAACTCAGAAATGAGGATATCCGCAGTAGAACTAGAGTGACCGACATAGCCCAACGGATTAGTAAGCTGAAGTGGCAATGGGCCGGCCATATAGCTCGAAGAACCGACAACCGATGGGGAAGAAAGGTTCTCGAGTGGTAGCCTCGTACCGTCAGGCGAAGTGTAGGGCGTCCCCCCACTAGATGGAGTGACGACCTGGTAAGATATGCAGGAAGTCGATGGATGCAGGTGGCTCAGGACCGTGCTTTGTGGCATTCTTTGGGGGAGGCCTATGTTCAGCAGTGGACTTGTGAAGGGCTGTAATGATGATTATTACACTGCCACTACAGGGTTAAGTTAGTTAGTTTAGTTAAGTATTTGTTTTTTTAGTTACTATATAACTCATAGATTATTGTTTAGCCGTGCAAAATTCAATTTAGATGACTTTAAAGTAGATTTATAACTGTCGAGCCAAACCCCTTCGTGTATGGCAGCTACCCGCTCGGGTAGGCACCACGCTCTCACAGAATGTCAGTGTAAATTAAGAGTTTAGAGCTGCTGTGTTTCGTATGGTGAGTGTAGGGAACCGGAGAACCGTTTTACTGGAAACAAGGCATTCCATCTTAGTCCTCACACCTCAGGGGTGACAACGCATCTACATTTTGATTTTGACCAAGGATGGATGTAAATGTCTATGGGCCACAGCATCCACTTACCATCAGGTGTTTTAATTGTTATGTGTGAGTTTCGTTGTGACAGACGGTGCTTTGTGTGCGCAAAATGACAGACAGTTCTGTATGAGGAAAAAAAGGTAGCCTTTTTTCCTACTACACCCTTCCGCTCCGGTGTCTATGTGAGACGCATGTCTTCTTCATTTGATCGATGTTTCACAGTATAGATCATTATTAACGCATTTTATAGGTCTTATATATTTATAATCGTTGATGCATGTTATAGTATATAATAACTGTTAGTAGTCGTCTAACTTCTAAACGACTTGACCGATCGAGGTTCTATTGACACAATACATTTGTTTTGTCGAAATGATGGTTCTCGACGAAACAAATGACGGACGAGGATGCGATAGGTGGCGCTGTAGTCAATTTATTAACAAATTCTATATTTTGACGTGTAGGGTGGTGTGAGTGACTCTACTACCATATATCATCTCGTAGGTGTTGGTTAGAGGCGACAGAGGGAAACTGAAATGAAAACAACTCAAAATGATAAACGGTTATTAACCAGCTTGCCAAGCGTGGCAACTGTTGCAAGTAACCCTAATCCTCATTATAATCTCCCTAATGGGGAAATGATGATGAAGTTGATGGACTAAATCCAATATACTACTAAATCCAATATACCTGATACCCTTTTTACTAGAAACGATGCATTCCATGTTAGTCCTCAGGGGTGGGGCACCGCATATGCATTTTAATACTTAATCGAGGTTAAAGAACTCACCATCAGGTGAAATTAATTTGTCGCTGTGGTCAAAAATCGGCCAGGATAAAGAGTTATAAGTTATAGTTTTGGGTCTGGAATTTTATACGTGTGTTCTTAGATTTATTTCTCTTTTTCAGCATATTACGGAGTTTTGTTCCCGGGAAGAGAAGAGGCAGCGTTTGCAAACTTTAGGCTATGGGAATCTGTGGGATATATTGTTGCATACCTTATATCCCCACATTTGAGAACTAGTACTAAGACTTACGTACTCATCGTATTGATGATAATAGGAGTCTCTCTCTACTTCGTTGTGGAATACAGAGATAGAAAAGCGAAAAAGAAGTTAGAAGAGAAGAATCAAGAATTGCAGAACGTCGGTTGTGATAATATCGCGTTTCAAAACTTAGATTGATCTTATAAACGTGGATTTAAGATTGACATAATCTTAAAGAATATGTGATAAACTTATAAATAATTGAATAGTTTAATTTTTTACCAACATTTTTAAATTATAATACGTTCGTTATTATATAAAGATGCTAATCATGTAACAACGTGACAGACAATCCCATTATTTCTCATTTCTTTCCTAAGGTGAAAATAATGTAAATTGCATTTAAATGTGTTAATCTATTTGTAGACTTTGATAGCATGTGATTATGACGACTGAACGGTAACTCAGGGCGTCTTAAATTTCCATAATACGGGAGCACTCCAATTTTGATCCCGAAATTCCCAACCGCAATTTTTAGAATCGATTTACCATTTGCAAACCAGTATGAGAAAACATAGATCTGAAAATCTCAATATCTAGAAAATAAAAATATTTTGTATATAATTTTTGTTTTACTATTCTAAGTTAGCTCTTTACTACAATCCCGCTTGATGGTAAGTAGTGATGTAGCAGAAGATGGTGAAGCACACTGACGTAACAAAAGCCTATTCACTCTTGCCTTGCAGACACCCACATTGTAATCGGATAGAAAGATAGATGCTTGCAACTTATTCCACTTCTTTGCCGTACGCATGACGAACGATGTAAAAAACCGTTTGGTTCGAATGTATGGTAAGTCGACAACGAAAGGGCGGAGACTGGCCTAAGGCCTGGAATTAATTAATAGAATCAGGCGTTACTTTGCGGAAGTCCATTATATTAAAGTTGGAAAAAAATTACTTCACGTGCATCGTGTTCAGGTATTCTGTGAGAGCGTGGTTCTTCTCCTGTCCAGCCGACCCATTCATGCTACAAATATACTATTAATATAGCTGCAGCATGGCTATACCACGTATAAAAATGCTTCCTTATTATTTATTCAATAACGATGAAACTTTGTTTAAAATTTTACGCGCGCACCTGAATGTTATAGACAAAATAACACTGACCTCTAATATACAAGTAGTATATATGGAGTTCAGTGCAACATAGGCATTGCATTGCATTCTGGTCACAACTAGTTTAATAATAAAATACTTCACAAATTGCTTCGATGTAAATTTTTAAATATAGTGTAAGATGCTTTTTGCCAATAAATGCTGCACTACTGGGCACAAACCGCTATTGATTCTTGTGAGTGTGTTTTAGATTACGGAAAGACGGATCACAGTACATGTTGACGAAATTCTCACCAATCTCACCAGCCTCGAACGCATTTAAAAAGTACCTAGCCTTTCGGTTTTCTACAGGATGCATTTCGGCGAGTATGCTCAGGAATTACAGAACTTAATTCCAGGCTATTAAAATTGGCAAAAATTACTTCGCGTGCATCCGCTCGATAAAATAAAATGATGTGTCTTACCTAGTTTGAAGAGCACCTCCCGCCCTCCCTCAATTGCGTGCACTACCACCGTCACCACTAATCCCAGCACCACTACTCCCAACACCACTACACTAGGAAAGACACACCACTGACGACAATACGACACGTGTTTCGCCTACACACGAGGCATCTTTAGGTAATCTAGACTCTGCGGTGGCTGACCACTAAGTGAGCGGCGAGCCAAAACAATTCCTATTTATACAGACCGGTGACGCAACCAACTCTCAATGACCAATCACCACTGGACTTACGCAGCCGTTTGTAAAATTGTCTCGGAGCAGTCTTGTTCCAATGAATCCTCAAGCACCCATTTTATATGGGTTACCAAAAACACATAAAGAACATGTTCCTATTCGTCCAGTTGTCTCATATATAGGTGCACCAGCTTATTTCCTTGCTATAAAATTAAACTTCCTACTTCGAGAGAAATCTGGATTAAACCCTACTTACAGCCTTAAAAATAGCTTAGATCTCTTTTCCAAAATTAAAGATATTCGTATTCCTCCTAAATCCATATTGTTATCTTTAGACGTTGATAGTCTCTTCACAAATGTCCCATCCTCTGACTGTTTGCGTATACTCGCAGATCTCTTTGATAAACGTCGTCTACATCCCGGGGAAACAAATGATCTTCTTAACTTAACCTCTCTCTGTATGAAACAAAACTATTTCCGGCTTAATAACCGTTTCTATCTACAAAAAGAAGGGTTAGCTATGGGACCCCTCTACGTCCCTTTATGGCGGATATTTTCATGGATCATTTCGAAAAACAACATATAGTTCTCAATCAAAATATCTTATATTACTATCGATATGTAGATGACATAATTATCCAGTCCACGACAAAATTAAATTTAAACTTGAATTGGAACAAGATTGTTCCCTTAATTTCCTCGACTTAACAATAACAAGAAAAGAATCGTCACATGTTTTCCAAATTTATCGAAAGCCATCTCATACTGACACGGTCATTCCCGCGTCATCGTGTCATCCGTGGCAACATAAATTAGCCGCTTTTTATTGTTACATTAATCGTTTGTTCATTGTCCCATTAAGTAAAGAAAATTATTTAAAAGAGCTTAATATGATTTATCAAATAGCGGTCTCTAACGGTTTTTCAAAAAATCTCATTAACAATTTAATTAAAAAGAAACAAAAGCATGTTGTTCGCAACTCTCTGTACGCGGTTCAACCTCAAAGTGTTTTTTTTATAGAAGAGGGGGCAAACGAGTATGGTAAGTGACTACCGCCGCCCATGAACAACCGCAATACAAGGGGAAATGCAGATGCGTTGCCGGCATTTTAGAAAGGTGTAAGCTCTTTTCTTGATGGTCGTGAAGTCGTATCGGTCCGGAAAATTCGCTGGTGGTAATTGATTCCACAAGGAAGTTGTGCGAGGGAGAAAACTTCTTCTAAATCTCACAGTGGTGGACCGCCAATCATCCAGATGGTATGGGTGGTAACGCGAGTTTTGTCGCGATGTGCGATTGTGAAATTGAGCGGCTGGAATTAGTCCGAACAATTCCTGAGAGCACTCCCCGTGATAGATGCGATAAAATATGCAAAGAGATGCAACATGTCCACGCAGACTGTTCGTCTGTTCGTCGATATATGAGGAGTTTGACCTACTTAGGCCCCATATCTGGAAAAGTAGCTAATACTCTTCGACAAAACGGCGTTTATGTGGCATTCAAAACAAACGATTCTCTTAGGAATATCTGTAATAATAAAAATAAGTTGGATATTCGTCAAAAGTCGGGTGTTTACAAACTTGTTTGTGACGAATGCCACGCCGTTTACGTGGGTCAGACTGGTCGCAATTTCGAAACACGTTATAAAGAGCATTTAGCCGCGTACAGGAATTGCAATCCCGATAAGTCCCATTTTGCTAAACAATTTTTGGACGCTGGACACAACCTAGCCAACGACTACTCCTTTAAAGTCTTACATACGAGTAATAAAGGGCTGCGACTGTGTGTGCTGAAACACTTAGAGATATTAAAAAGTAATAATAGTAATGTTGCACTGCTGAATGAACAAACAAATGTTTTTTTTAAAAAAAAAACGTTACCCCCGCACTAGGATTTTTTTCCTGTGTCGTGGAGGCAGTTTACAAACATAAATTGCACGAGGAGAAACATCCAGACCCGGAACAATTATTTGTAGGCCATACAAATACTTGTTCCGTGCGGGATTCGAACCCGCGGCCCCCAGCGCAACAACTGATTGTTAAGCCACTGCGCCACGGAGCCGTCAAAAACATTTAATTTCTAACTCCCCTCTCTTGAATATCTTTAAGCCTGCTCTCTAATAACATACAACCTCGCAATATGGCCGTTTGTCACCCTCACGGTGATTGGCGATTGGTTGCGTGGTAGGCGGGTGTTGCGCGGCGGTTTATTTTTAATTTTTCGAACGGCTGCGTAAGTCCAGTGGTAATTGGTCACATGTTTTATCGCATGACGCAGTCGCTCGCTCCTTAAGTAGGGAGCGGTTGCGTAAGCGGTCTGTATAAATAGGAATTGTTTTGGCTCGCCGCTCACTTAGCGGTCAGCCACCGCAGAGTCTAGATTACCTGAAGATGCCTTGTGTAGAGGCAAAACACGTGTCGTATTGTTGTCGTCGGTGGTGTGTCTTTCCTAGTGTAGTGGTGTTGGGAGTAGTGATGCTGGGATTAGTGGTGACGGTGATAGTGCACGCAATTGAGGGAGGGCGGGAGGTGCTCTTCAAACTAGGTAAGACACATCATTTTATTTTATCGAGCGGATGCACGCGAAGAAATTATTTGCCAATTTTAATAGCCTGGAATTAAGTTCTGTAATTCCTGAGCATACTCGCCGAAATGCATCCTGTAGAAAACCGAAAGGCTAGGTACTTTTTAAATGCGTTCGAGGCTGGTGAGATTAGTGGGAAATTCGTCAACATGTACTGTGATCTGTCTTTCCGTAATCTAAAACACACTCACAAGAATCAATAGCGGTTTGTGCCCAGTAGTGCAGCATTTATTAGCAAAAAGCATCTTACACTATATTTAAAAATTTACATCGAAGCAATTTGTGAAGTATTTTATTATTTAACTAGTTGTGACCAGAATGCAATGCAATGCCTATTTTGCACTGAGCTCCTATATACTACTTGTATATTAGAGGTCAGTGTTATTTTGTCTATAACATTCACGTGTGCGCGTAAAATTTTAAACAAAGTTTCATCGTTATTGAATAAATAATAAGGAAGCATTTTTATACGTGGTATAGCCATGCTGCAGCTATATTAATAGTATATTTGTAGCACGAATGGGTCGGCTGGACAGGAGAAGAACCACGCTCTCACAGAATACCAGCGTAAAATAGCAGCTTAATGCTGATGTGTTTCGTATGGTTAGTGTAGAGAACTGGACACCCTTTTTACTGGAAAAGAGGCATTCTATCTTAGTCCTCACGGCTGACAATGCAGATCATTTTAAATCGCCAACGAATATAGATGTAGATGTCTATAGGCCACTGCAACCACTTACCATCAGGTGGACTGTGCTCGTTTGTCACCCTAATTCTATAAATAAAACACATACGGGAAAAATTATGTCATTTATATTTTA